CTATAAACCATACAAGTATGTGTTGCTTGCGCTAGATTAAAAAATCTTTTACATGTTAAAAGGTGTAGTTTCTCTAGACATTCATGCCGTTGAAATCCCCAAATTTCAGACCCATAAAGCATAATCGGTTGGATTTGTGAATCAAACAATTTGAAATATATTTTCGGTGTTAAAATTCCAAAATTCTGGGAAACTGATATAACTGTAATAAAAGCCTTCTTAATTAGCACGTGATTTCAGATCTATAACATTCTTTGAAAACTTCATAGTATGGGAAAACACTAGTCCGAGATAGGTATAGTGATTAACAATAGATAATTGTTTGCCATTCAAAAACCATTTTTCTTTTAGAGGCGACAGGCCCACCTCTTCTAAAGATAACTATGTTTTGTTTTTTTCAATATTAATAAATGATTTCCATTCATTTGTATAACGTTCCAAAATATTCATTTGGTTTTGTAGACTGACGATAGTATCTGACACTAAAACAACATCATCGGCAAAAAGGAGGATAAAAAGTTCAGTCATATCTGGAAACGTTTACACACCATGTTTACCCGAATGAAAAATATATAATACAGTTCGCTTATAACGAAGGAGAACAATATAGGGCCCAAAATACACCCTTGCCGAACTCCCATGAGACAGTCGAAAAAATAGATAGATTTTAATATTTAATAATTCATTTTCCCTTGTAAACCAGACTTTCGTAAGCAGTGCCATAATTTACAACGACCCACAGAGTCAAAAGCTTTCTTGAAGTCAACAAATGATACATAAAGTTTGTGTTTACTATGCGATAGACACTTTTGGATTATTGCATATAGTGTAAAGATATGGTCAGCAGTTGAATAATCTTTTCTAAAAACCGCCTGGCATTCGGGAATTAAGTTTCTTAGATTTGACCAGTTTTAGATTCTGTTGTTTAAAACAGTTGGAAATATTTCCCAATAACTCTCATTAAAGATATGCCTTTATAATTATCTGCATTGTCTTGAGCCGCCTTTTTATGTATAGGGGCGATAATTGAACGAGACCAGCTTTCTGGAACGGAGCGACTTTCAAATACAGTATTAAAACACTTATGGAGGAAGGGCATTAACTCGACTTGAGAACATTTAATCATTTCGATTGTAATATTGTCGGGACCAGCTGCATTTTCGCTCTTTAAGTGATTTATAGCATTCTTTATCTCATCTACTGAAATTTGTGTTTCCAAAATCATTTGATCAACAGTGTGATAGTCATTCGAAGAGATAATATCATCATCGAAGGGATAGCCATCACCATGACAGCATCATTAGAAAAACCTTGAAATGTGTCGATTCACATTTTGAAATATTACTTTTAGGATTTGACCTCTTTCCACATGAAGGAATTTGTTTCCAGAACATAGCAGGATTGTGGATAGAATCATCCAATATGTTCAATATTTGATTACGCAGGTTAGATTTGAATTTTCTACATGAATTCAATAAGTTAATATCATCTTGATCATAAATCATACATTAATGAATAAATAATAAACAGAAGCACTCAGTTATCTATTTATCACACAAAAAGATTATAGCTAATTGTGGACATAGTGCCTTTATAACATTTGAGAAGGCACCCAGTAACTAGTATATTAACAAAGCGTAATCAAAGTAATATACTAAGTAATTGGTTTAATTACGAAACAGTTAAATTGCGTTGTTTGGCAGTTTTACAACCTACCAAAAATATATTATTGTATAGTGACATTTTTCCTGTGACTTTCTGTCCTCCTCTCTATTACTGAAGAGTGACAATAATTATGAGTATCGGTATTTATGGATATGACGCGCTGAATCACATCTGAGATCTCACGCACTCCAAGTTCGCTTCCACAATAATATAAGTTATCACATCGTGTCGAGGGAAATATGGGGTTTTATCAGCCCCGAGTAAGGTTGTATTCCCCGAGTCGGAGGCGAGGGGAATACAACCTTACTAGGGACTGATAAAAGCCCGTATTTCCCTCGACACGATGTGATAACGCATTTATCTAGCCGAATGTTTTTACTAAATCAAGAGAAAACAATACGCTTCAATTTCATTCTCAGTTGTGGCAAAACGTTTCCTTGCTGCCATGTTGACACCAGCTGATCAATTGACCTCAATGCAGCGCACGTTATTAAAGGCTTGGCGATGCACGCTTTTCTCACTTCGTGTGGTCACCGAGGGGCCGCGGGATGATACGACTTTTGTACTCCCTGCTCGCGGATCGTGACGGGTGTACATGGTATTTTATCAGAGTCACGTGAACCAATCAAAACTCGAAATTCTTACATGAGGCTGGATAAGGGAAGTTAAATCTACAGATAAACTAGCTCGACATATGGAAAACACAATATATGCATTGCCTAATTTAGTTCCGATCCTGACTGATGATAAGCCTTCATGCAACCCTTGTCTTCCGTCAATTCAGAGTGAGTATGCTTTCACGCCACTTTTAGCAATATTCCAGCAATATCACGGCGGGAGCACCAGATATGGGCTTCACGCATTGAATCCATGTGGAAACTCGAGTCTTCAGAGTGATGAGAGGACGCTTTAACCATTTGGCTTCCCTACCACCCACCGTCAATTCAGAATGCAAATACCAAGCTATTAGGGCTTTTCAGGGTCAAACTATAATACAGATGTAAGTCAAACACGTCAAACTATAATACAGATGTAAGTCAAACACATATCCAGATTTGTATTTAAGTCTTTAAATGTTCGGCTTCCAACTTTGAGCAAAAATACATTTTGTTAAAAAAGCGACAGTTTAGTGTAGCCAACACACGCACATTATGCCCAGGCACACTTTTCTTCACTCTGACATACAAAAGAGCTCATCGTAGCCAGTTGATACTTCAAACTACCAGATGATTCCGGATCACCTTGGTCATGCACGTCTACTAGGTCAGTGGTAATGTCATTTCATTGTATGCGTGCCCCTGTGACTGCGGAATTTGTGTATTTGAATAGTAATGAGGGTGACATCATAGTTTATTAAGCTGAAGTATGGTGTCCTTGAAATGACGTAAAGAGCAAAGTGACGTTAAACGCCGTTATTAATTAACAGATTCATGTCATCATTTGACCAATGTTCGAAAGTGCAAATATACGCCAGCGGCTGTCCTTTCTTGAAATCAAAAGGGTTTCATATTTCTATTAGGTATTCCAAAATATTGTTATATATACAGTAAAAAAAAAGATTCTACAATTATGTATTCTTGTACAATTTAAGTTTCAGAAAGAGACTGAAGGTCCAGTGATGTCTTTAACTTTAAACACAGCGCCTTTTAGCACCTGGGCTGGATATTGGCGCTATACATATATTAGCATGAGTAACTTAATAGCAAAGTTATACAAATATATATTTTTGTAAATGGCCGGTGTCGTTGTGTCGTTGGGCTTCTGTCTGTCTTGGCATTCTTTTGTCGTATATAGTGGCTTAAAACAATGCATGTGGAGTACCGTTGATTTGGCTTTTTAAAGCCTACAGTCATAGGCTTCAGCTCGGGGTGATACACAATTTCATGATGCACGTACATTTTATGTAGCAATTCACTACAAACGTGAGTGTAACGTTCAACGTTTCTTTTTTTAAACGTTTTGTCGTCGGCAACCATTCTTCCACATGTTGGGATTCAGCATGGATTGGTTTGTGTCAAATATTTTCCAAAAATTCAAGTTGTTCCCTTGTCAAGTTTCCTTTTGTCGAAGTGAAATTATCAACAGTGTCAAATAATTGTACCACCACCATATTTTGTACTTTCATTTCTGTGTTATACTGCAGAGTCAGTTAGGTGCTGTGCTGTGCTGTGCGGTGCTGTGCTGTGCTATATTTGTGTGCTTGAATGAACTAGAACCCTCCTCTGACGCACAGCAAATTAGGTCAATACACGAACTACTTTCACAAAATTCCATACACGCCATGCGAATCCTCATACGTTAACATTTCATTGATGACATCGTCGCGAGTTTACGTGTGTGTGTGTTAGTGTGTGTGTTAGTGTGTGTGTGTGTTAGTGTGTGTGTGTGAAGGATGACCTTCACCTTGGTGTACCGCTAAATATTCTGACGCGAATGCTCGATTTTCTCGATATAAATTGCTTCATTTTTAGAGTAATTATAAGGCTCACATAATACAATTTTTATTCGTAATATATGATATCAGTTGATACGGAATCACTCTTGGTTGATAATCTCTATTTTCCCTTATGTAAATAGAAGCGACAAAACCCTTTCCACATTCATAAGAAATCTCTGCCAAAAGCAGAGTCGATTGTACAATTGTGACTATATCATGAGAAGATGACTATATCATGTTTTAGAGGTATTACAGCTCTCTGATGTTGTTTGTAAACAAATCGGGTCTGAACCAGCAATCCAGTGATTGTCACAATTCGATACGATGGCAGAGCGTGTGTTTATGAATCACAATGAAATATAACTGGAGCTATTTCTTTGCTGTTTGTTGGTTCTTTTACGGACTAATTCGCAGTTAACCTTTTAGTTTCAACATGGGGTTCAACACGTAAGATATTTCTTTTTCAATTTCAGAATACAATTGCATTTCTTTTCATTTCCTCATTATTTGTTGGTTTCTTTGTGTTACATTTTTGTTTCTATTTGGGAATAGACAGGAAGAAACACTTTGTGGATATTCTATTTAAGTCAACCTGACATGCATTAAGTTCAAATACCTTCCTCCGTGGATAATCCGGTGATGAGGATGTAATTACCGTTTACGAGCATACCGAGTGTCTGAGAATTTTTATCTCCAGTTCATGTACATACATACGGGCAAAACATGACTCTGATTATATTAACTATTGTGAAACATGTGAGAAGGAGAAGATCCAGGTAAAGTGCCACTGACCTAGAGCTTGATGCTTTTTCCCAAAAACACAGATGGATCTACGGCCATTCAAATCCAACCAGCTTCTTGTCATCGTTATAGTTCGTTGATTGAAGACAAGGTTCAATAAGCAACGACATTACATTTTTATTGTTGGTTACTAGTTATCTACACGTTACTTCTCGATATATCCCCAACGAGCTGAGATATATTTGGATATTCCAAGAAGTAGAAAATGGTCGAGCTGTGGACGAAGAATGTCCTGGAATGTCCTAGAATACCCTAGAATGTCTTGAACAGGACTGTCTGAACCACCATTTATAGATGGGTTGAGCAGTATGTCGTGTTCTGTTCAAGCTTGGCATTTTGGACATCTTTGTTCGAGCCCCCAGGAACACCATGCCCCTCCTCCACCACCACCTCCGTCTTCTCCTCGGCCCAAGGCTGCGGCTCCCCTTGGGCCATTGTTCCGAACACCACAGTTCCCAGGACACAGACTCCAGCACACACGTAGAAGACATTCCGCCATTCTTCCTGGGTTTTCTGTAAACATACATATTATATTAACATCATGGAGGCGTTGTGGGCGAAGTGGCCAAGGCGCCAGGCTATTGATTCAGTGAGCATAAGGTGCCGGGATCGAGCCCACTTGTGACCGGGTGTAAAATCCTTGGATCAGTGTTATCACAACCCTCAGTGTACAGTACACAACCCTGTGCACTTAAAAGAACCCACGAATCCGTTGGTATATGACCAGATGGTGGCCACATGAATACGTGCAAACACCTAGTTGCGGGTACAGCAACGTGCCGTAAACTTGGACAAAGTACTGTGACTATGTGTCCCAGTCCACCCAGCTGTGAATGCGCACCTCGTAAGGATGGGTAAGCCATAATAACTCGGTGCGCCTTGTGGCAGCAAGAGTTGTATGATCCCCAGGGAGCTGAGATTGATAATAAAATGTGCTGTTGAGATTGGCATTCAATGTTCGAGGGAAAAAATACCAGCGCCTTGAGCATGCACTAGTGCGAGCATATGTGCGTTATATAAATATCCAATAATAATAATAAATAACAAATCATACCCGTGTTAGTATTTTAACAAAGTGGTAAACGTTTTAAAGATGTACATTTCCTGCGATGTCTAATATAACTGACATACTGTTTGAAAACGGGTTGGAGGGGTGCTTAAGGACGATGAATTCGTAACGCTCTACGTATCCGCTCTACGTATCCGACTGCTTACTTTCTTAACTTACAAAGAGTGTATCTCGATGAAACAGTTGCGTGACAATTTGACAATTGAACATCTAGTAGTCTCCATGGAACTAGAAGTACGGTGCCTCGAGTTGAGAACGTTTCCATCTGTGATATGCAAGGAGAGGTGCTAACATCCCCGGACACTTACATTGAGTGTTAGGGCGCCGGCAAGGAGAGGTGCTAACATCCCCGGAAACTTACATTGGGTGTTAGGGCGCCGGCAAGGAGAGGTGCTAACATACCCGGAAACTTACATTGGGTGTTAGGGCGCCGGCAAGGAGAGGTGCTAACATACCCGGACACTTACATTGGGTGTTAGGGCGCCGGCAAGGAGAGGTGCTAACATACCCGGACACTTACATCGGGTGTTAGGGCGCCGGCAAGGAGAGGTGCTAACATCCCCGGACACTTACATTGGGTGTTAGGGCGCCGGCAAGGAGAGGTGCTAACATCCCCGGACACTTACATTGGGTGTTAGGGCGCCGGCAAGGAGAGGTGCTAACATCCCCGGACACTTACATTGGGTGTTAGGGCGCCGGCAAGGAGAGGTGCTAGCATACCCGGACACTTACATTGGGTGTTAGGGCGCCCGCAAGGATTGGTGCTAACATCCCCGTCGTTGTTGCAATGGTGTTAGAAAAGCCAAACAATATTCCAGCGTATCTGTAACAGAAATTCGATGTTGTTTTAGTTCGTATCCATTTGTTTTACAAATAATAGGCATGCTCAGTTATAAGCGTTCTTGAGTGTAGGGTATTCAGTAAGACTGTTCGTCATGTTTTCTTCTGTGTTTCAAGTCTCCCTTCCCGAATCTTCGTTTCAATGTGAACAAAACCCGGAAAGATCTCTTATTTCAAACTATCTCGATGTGAAACCTACCATTGTCTGCTCATAACAAACCAAACTTAGCTTGATCTTTTTATGCAATATTCTGAAGCAACCGGGTGCCTATAGCAATCCGATTAAGCTCTTTTTTTAAGAATATTTAACCTATTTGCAGTTCCTAAAGTCGTTCAAAATCGTTTGTATTCAGAAACCCGCGATACACGCATAAGGAGCTTGGTGCCGACCCACTAAGCGATCGTAACGTTATGACCTGTCTCTATAGTTTACTGTAAGCTTACGAATGCCACAGAACTATGAATGCTTTTTGGATCGGGACCCTGGTTCCTAAAATGTATACCTACCTTGAAGCAAAGTCGGTAGTGTTGACGAGGACCCCTGACGACCCCAAACCCAAAAATGACATCGCGGCCGATAGCAGAAATACTGCGTAATAACGTCTCTCCGCGTCCATAAAGCCTGTGCCTATCAAGCAGCTACCTGCCCCGAGGAATGCTGCAAACATTCAAACAAGATGTTCTGATTGAACAGGTCTCTGTCGCGAGCGGGATGAACGGGATTTTAACAGCAAATTGTACAAGTACTCATTTGAACTTTTTTGTTTGCTGTTGAACGCCACACACACCAATATGGCCACTACATGACGGTGGTCGTCAATAATCGAGTCTGGTCCAGACACTCCAGTGATTGACATCATGAGCATCGATCTTTGCAATTGTAGTGAGTGAGTGAATTTAGTTTTACGCCGCACTCAGCAATATTCCAGCTTTATGGCGGCGGTCTGTATATAATCGAGTCTGGACCAGACAGTCCAGTGACCAACAGCATGAGCATCGATCTGCGCAATTGGGAACCGATGACATGTGTCAACCAAGTCAGCGAGCCTGACCAACCGATCCACCCGTTAGTTGCCTCTTACGACAAGCATGGGTTACTGAAGATCAATATTCTAACCCGGTCCATCACGGGTTATGCAATTGGAAAACGATGACACGGATCAGCCAAGTGACCGAGCCTCTTACAACAAGCATGGGATGCTGAACACTAGATCTAACCCGGATCTTCACAGGTCTGTTCTGCACTGAATGTCGAGGGGTGTTCCAAGCTAATGACACGTGACAACTTTAAATTTACGAATTAACTAAGACAACACTTATTTTCGGTGACAAATCGACTAAGATGTGACAGTAGGAGAGTTGAAAGCTCGAACGGCGTCAATTATGACGTAACATGGAAATGACGTCACACAACACAGTGTGACTTTGTGACATCGTGGTATACGACCACCCAACTTGTGTACCCTTTACAAGACAATGGGTGGCCCGTCATTGATAAATAATGACATCTGATACTCCTTTATCAAATTATATGTTCGTCAGAAATAAATGCCTAACATTTGCAAATGAATCCCATTGTATTAGCTCATATATAATAAAGCTCCAGTGCCTGGATCGGTTCGCCTCTGAAACATTTTCAGCGTTCGAAGTTTTAACCCTTTCCTAAGAAATAAATAAAAAGTAAAATGAAATACAGCAAAGTAGAAAAGTTGCATTTTATTTGTATGTATGAACCTCAACCCCATGTTATGTTTCATTTTCTTTTTTGCTTTCTGTTTCTTAACAGATGTCAGTAAAACGCATTACCAATAAACTGAAAACTGACCGGTAGATTGAGCAATGCACTCAACACTGACCCTAAGAACGATAGGGTAGCGGAGCAGTTAAGGTATTCACTTCATGCCGACTGCTCTAGTTTGATTCCCACATGCCCAGCTAACACACAACGTTTTGGGAGGGCTGTAGATTGGTAACGTCAGGACAACGTTAGTTTTACGTCTTTTTATAACGTTATGTCACAACGTAATAACAAAGTTGCAAATATATGTTGAGGGAACGTTATGCTTTGGGCTCCTCACAACGCTAAAACAACGTTTCGTATAACTTGGTGTCACGATAGTAAAACTTTTCACTTTGAGATTCTTTCGTCGCTATTCAGCTACAGCCTCAGAAAACACACGACCAAAACAACATACAAATTGACTAATAAATATTGAAGTGAATTTCTGCTTTGTTTCTGTTCTGTTCACTACTGAGCAAACTATTCAACTATTAACGAATAGAAAGTAAGACAACGTAAAATAGTTTACCATCAAATAACGTCCCGTAAAACTGACGATTCACAATGTCAGGCCACAGCGTTCTGATAACGTAAATGAGAGTTTACAGAATAACGCTGTGACAACGTGAAATTGTCAGGTGGGTGGAAACATTTCTTATGGTTTCCCCCGCTATATAAGGTTTTTGGAAGAGGCAAAAAACCAACGTTAATCCATTCTCATTTTGGATTACTCCCTCACACACTCACCGCTTGTCTGAAATATCCGCCGAGCGGATGTAGTGCTGAGGTATTTCCTTGACCGGAGGAAGTCGGAGAGATGACCACCCAGCAACCCAAACACGAATTGACAGAGCGAGGGGACCGAAGACAACAAGCCGTTCTAGACGACAAGAATAGTATTCGCATCTTTTTCGCCTTAACAAATCAACATGTTTAAGCAACAATGGCAAAATAAAACAGGATCAAATACAGACCGCCGTCATTCAGCTGTGTGCGGAGTTAAAATCCTAACTTGCACAAGTCTCTTAGGTAACAATTAATAGTTTAAATGATAATTTCTTAAAAATAATAAATATAAAACTGGGTGTACTGTCCGCTTATCTAGATTTGCCTTTTTGTAGGATAGAATTACTATACATTCATGGGCTCAGCATTCAGTAAAGTCTTGGAGCAAGGCCATTAAAACCCAAACAACCTCATATCACAACTCCCCGATACATGTAGAATATTGAGTGCGGCATTATACAACATTAGACGGAAGATAATGTGCGTACCTCTTCTATATCGAAGTGCAGGGCCTCTTTAAGAAACGTAGGTGTGTTGGTAGTCAGAATGTAAAGTAGCCACGCGAGACAGATATGTCCCGTTACAAACGCCCACATTGCCCTTGACTTTAAGATGTCCGACCATGGCGTTTTGTAATTCCGCTAATAATTAAATAAATGGCAAGTTAATGGTGAAAAGAAGGTTGCTCCTCATTATGGTAAACTGTAATGCATACTTGTGTTTTTCGGGATCAGGTGGTCAGGCTTGCGTGCCTTGGTTGACACATGTCATCGGTTCCCCATTGCGCAGATCGAAGCTCATGATGTTGATCACTGGATTGTCTGGTCCAGACTCGATAATTTACAGATCGCCGCCATATAGTTGGAATATTGCTGAGTGCGGCGTAAAACACAATGGGATACGATGACATGTGTCAACCAAGTCAAAGAGCCTGACCACCTGACTAAGATATTGAATATGAAGACAATTATGTGGATACAATTGTTTAATAAATGAATTTTAATGTTATAGAAACATAATTATGATGAAGAATGATAGAATATATAATGACGAAAACATTTTTCAGTGTATAATTAGACAAAGAGTGCCAATTCAGATGATGAAAAAGTGCTTATGACCTAAAAGTTTTCATTGATGCATATGTTTTGTTCAATGAGTTATAAAAACAGAATCATCATGACATCGTTTAGAAATATTACGAACCTGCGTTTTCTCTCCTAAACTACGTATGATGTAATTCCGCTCTCTCTTGGAGATCCGAGGATGTTGTGCCGGCGTGCTGGCGATCGTTAGCCACCACAGGAAGCACCATAACAGTGTTATAGCTCCTGTAGGCATGGAGGCGTGCTAGTCAGATACACAGATATTACCATCCTCGATAATCTATAGTACGTATACGTTCTGATAAATCTCCACGAGTACCCTGGATGCATCTACGACTCGGTCCGATAATTGTATTACCTCCCTTTGCTGTCTCCACCTTCGTTCCTTCCTGGTACGCTCAACTTCCCAGCCTAGACACCCGAAGGGTAATAAGGGTAATACAATGATCGTGCGGAGCCGTAGATGCATCCAGGGTACTAGCGGAGATTTATCGGAACGTACACCCTCGAGATTATCGAGGATGAGAGATTACAAAACGAGTTGGTGCTTTCGCTCGTGATAAATCAAACCTTTTCATAAATATTGATTTGGAATGTTGTCGATATTCAACATCCAGGAATTTCGTGATCCATTTATTACACGCAGGACGGGCAAACAGTGTGATCCCTGATGACAAATCAAGTAGACGATGCCGGATGTAATAAAACGAAAGGGAGATAACTCTGTCACGACTACTCTATAAATGAAAATACACAATTAAAAATATTCAATTACAAAATAATACTAATCCCCAGAACTATCCGCAAACCTAATATTTTGTTTGGTTGACATTTTGGGTAAAAAAAATGTCGGAATGGAGTTAATGTTAATTCATAATATCGAGGTGGCAACAGAAAGTTCGGAATTATGACGTCGATTACTATCGTTGAATAATCTAGTTTGGTTAGACGACACTCGTTGGATAACTTTCAGCTGGTTAAACTACACCTGTTTCACTTAACTAAAATTATCTAATAGAGATATTCAGAACAATATCAGAACATGTGTAATAAAACATGCTCTCTCTACATGGCATTATGAAATTACCTCACAACACACACGTGAACATGTTGTGTCTTTTCTACAAAGTGAAACCCATTTAAGTCGGACAATGAGTTCCCTCTGATGTCGTCTGGATTAACCAGTATTCGGCTATTTTGCTGAATACGCTTTTCAAGACATTTTTTACGTTCAAATTGTCAATGCTGAATGTTAGATTACGATTAAGAGTAGACTTGTCAGGGTTTCACTATACATGTATAGGGCCACATATACATTACGTTTAAAGCGAAACAGTTCCCATTTTTGGTTAAAACGGATGAAAGAATACCGATTTTCAGTTTGAGATAAATTTTAAAAATGAAGTATCATTGATTTGATGCAAAACTCAAGATTCGTTAAGTAGCTCACATTATTGATCAGAAGCAATATAAGGCATACCCTACACAGTGAGTCTGTGAGTGATTTAAACAGTATTTTAGTTATAATACGGTGCGCCAGCTTGACAAGGGTGGAAGATGGAAGTGTTGCAGGTCTTACCTTTACCACTGACATCCACGAACACGGTTGTGTTGATGACAAACACAGATAGAAACATGTTAATCAGGTCGAATCATGGTTTTGGATCATAGTGTCCAGATATATCAAAGGGACGCAATTCAGACACACAGTACTGCTAGGTGTCCTGCAGGGTTATGGCTTTTGTCCCTTTTTCTTGCCTCTCACCCTCTTTTAGTAGTGTGTATGTCTCACTCATTCTCTCATACAAGGTGTCCTGCAGGGTTATGGCTTTTCTCCCTTTTCTTGCCCCTCGCCCTCTTTTAATAGCGTGTATGTCTCACTCATTCTCTCATACTAGGTGTCCTGCAGGGTTATGTCTTTTGTCCCTTTTTCTTGCCTCTCACCCTTTTTTAAAACAGTATTGTATGTATGTATCGTTCATTTGAAATTACTCAGACCATCTGACACTCTCTTGCTGTCCTATATACCTGGGACATAGAAGACGGACCCCCAGCCGTTATCGAATCCATAGATGCACAGGAATCCTGATATCGTGAAAGTGGCTATGATTCCAAACGGAAAACCTGGGAAGAAAACAATTCATTATGTGCATTTTAATAGGTACTTTTCAATGAAAGAACGAAGAATGGACGAAGAATCCACTGTGGATTGTGGACAATTCCTTACCTTAAGGCTGAATTTTCCATTTTTATTATTTTGTCAAAACAGTTTCCTGTAAATAAATTAAATAATAAAATCATATTCATAAAAGGTGTATTTCCAGGTCAATTTACACTTGTATAAATGATAACACTTTCCGATTCATTATGATATACACGTGGAAAAATGTATCGCAACATCCCCATAAGAGGTTGGCTACTCCATGGTGATGACCATGATTTTGCTGATCATAAAATCATTAGTAAGTTAACAGTACTTTGGTCGAATTCACTTCCGCCTGTGTTGAAACTGTGTTGAATTTTCAATGCATTTTCCTTGTGGCTTTTGAGATACAGTTGTTTAAACATGTGATGCTCTTTGACGTTTCTCCGCAATGTTTCTAATTTGAATGACATCTTAAACACAGCACTGACCTGCGTAGCAGATAGCTACAAGTAAAGTCCTCTCCGATGGCGGCGCCCATCGACCAAGCATGGCCTGCGCAGTCGGATTATAGACTCCCTGAGGAGAGTGCAACGAGAAAGGACATAGTCCTGAAAATATCATTTCGTTAAATGTTTGATCGGCATTCTAGAAGTTGGTGAGTCAATAATAGTCAAGCTAAAAGTGAGTGAGTAAGTGAGTTTAGTTTTACACCCCACATAGCAATATACCAGGGATATGTCGGCGGTCTGTAAATAATCGAATCTGGACCAGACAATCCAGTGATCAACAGCATGAGCATCGATCTAAAACAACGGTATAAGAATCAACACCGTGACTTATTCAATACTTCATCGAAAGCATTTCCTTTGTTCTAACGAAATGTATGGTGGCCTGTGCTAATTATATTTTGAGTTCCGATTTTAATGTCCACCAATCCAACTTCAAATTTCATCATCATAATCATCAAACAGGAGAGGAGGTTTAGCCTTGCGGTTAAAGCATTCGGTTAACGTCGAAGGTTCGGTCTCGATTCCGAACATTGGTTCAATACGTCAAAACTATTTTCACTCAGTCTTCATTAAATGTGTGAGATCTGTTTAAAAGACGTAATTGCTCGATGAAGATCATGTTTACAACTGAACTGATCTTCAGGGTGCCAATCCACGAAGCGTTCGTAGCTCTACGACATTCTTAAGCCCATGGTAAACTATAGAATTACAACAGGTCATAACGTTACGAAGGTTTTGTTGATCGGGTCCCTGCATCCTGTGTTTGTCGTACATGCGGCAGAAAAGATCAGGTGGTCAAACTCGGGTGATGCATGTCATCGTATCCTTGTTACGTAGATGCTCGTGAAGTCATGGATGAGAGGATTGTCCGGTCTCGACCACCACGTTATAGTTGGAACATTGTTGAGCGCGGCGTTAAACAACATGCAAGCAAAACATAAAAATACTAAATCGAGACATACATGCCTGTCATATGTGTTACAATCCAAACTATGTTATCCCACCTACCATGGCCAATCCCAGAATCACTCGCAGCACATACACGAGGTACATGGAGGTCCGAGCGCCGATTGGTAGAAGCAACGAGGCGATCGAGCCAATCAGCATCCCAGTTAACATGACGTATTTCCCGCCATATTTCGCAGCCAGCAGTCCCGAGGGGAACTGTGCTACCATGTAACCATAGTAATAGGAGCTGAGAATTCCCGCTTGTTCTGTCTTGGACCAGTAGAACTCCGCATGCTGGAAATACATTTTGTGTCTCTGCATTTGTAGTTGTAAAAATCAAATTTTCATAAACTGTCGCTCAAAAACACTGTTTTCATCCAGTATTGTTTTGTTGCTAAAAATAACAAGAACTGGTTGTTTGAGGCATTCGCCACCACTCGCCCCTTCCGTAACCTCCAAGTAAACCTGTTTTCCTCCCGATGCTTGTTTTGTGTGGACATACGACAAACCAATCAGAACGCGCGTAATGATTGATCTTGAGTACTTAAATCGTTTATGGCAGTATGACATTGTTTAAAAAATCACGAAAAATACATATCGTCACATTGAAAGTACAAAGAACGTAGCTATCAGAATTGTACTGCCTAATGTGAAGTTTTTAATAAGACTAATGCCATTGACGGTCATGGATTGTTTACATAACGGCTCTCATGGGGGCTAAGGGTATTCTGACAATCTTGGGAACTTAGTTTGGAGATTGTACGTTCGCTTCATGAAATATAATTATATATCGCTTCGAGTTTCAAAACAATAATATCATGTTAATATATTACTAATCAAATTTAATCTTTAACATGTGGCTTATATGTCACAGCTCTGGGGATATTTTAGTCTGACTATTGGGGGGGTTATTCATATTTTTTTTCCAGCGCGTTCATTTAAAAATTCCACAAGTGGTATGACAGCAAGGTCACACGAATGTTCAGTTTGAGAAATGTTTGAAAGTCATTTTTGAGTGTGTTTTGGGATTTAATGTAGCTGATAAAAGATTCTTTTATTTGCAAATGCAATTAAACAAATTCCATTTGTGATTCTTAAACCCTATTTAGAATTATACATTTGGAAATATAAGATGAACAGCTGGTAATATTTACGTTCGAATGTGTGTTTTACCAATATTTTCCCCTTCTTTTAGTTGTTGGTGTTTTAGAGGTTTGATTCTTTAAAATAAATAAATAACGAAAACAAAAACAACAATACAACATTCGAGTGCTTCGGTGATATCAAGTACCACTGGAATCAAACAGGAGTAGCGTTATCGTTCTTGTTTAAAGTAGTTCTGATGTTCCTACGCCAATATGAAATCCTTCCAGAGGGGCACGAGTCGCTATTCGGCTTGTCCAGGAATAACATCACTCTCCTATCCAGAGTACCCACAGGCCAGAAAGATGTGACGATTCGTCAGATCTTACACAGTCCATTCAATATAATGTACATATTTCTTAACACTTTTATTTTTGAAGAGTCTACATGTCTAATTAAACATCATTGTTAAAATGATTTAGTTTCTCTGAGAGAATATCCTAAAACGTGTAACACTATTTCAATTTGCGTAGCGATCTTTTGTTTACATGAGTTGTGCGGCTCCACGTGCTGTCACCATTCAATTTGCAATGATAAAATTTCTTAACAGACTGGACATGTCCTGATACCATTCCTTATGAAAATTAACCTTAATGACAATGAGTAATATATAAAAATCAAATTAATCTCCACTAATTGTAGAGAAGTTGCAAATAAATCTAAGAGAAAAGAATTGATGAATATATATAGGAAAAAATTATATTCCATAATATGCTTGCAAGATATTCGATGAATCTACCTCAAATATCATGAGATATGAATGGGGTTTACAGTCCATCATAGCTCCTTATTAAATCTAATTCTAGAGGTGTTGCAATGCTCTTTAATAATGATAACAAGATACATAGGACCTTAATAGATGAACATGGCAATTGTATTATTGCTGATATTTCAATAGAAGATAAAGGAATTACACTAACTAATCTCTATGGACCTAATAATGATGATCCTCAATTTTATATTAAACTACATGTATTTGAAAATATTTGAAAATTTGAAAATGATTAAGTAGCACTAGTTGGAGACTGGAAGCTAGTGACTTGACCCCGCAATTGATCTTCAGAATTATAAGAATGCTAAACAACCCAAAATCGAGAAATACTGTAGTAGAATTTATAGAAACTTATAATCTTATTGATATTTGGAGAAAGTTGAATGATAAATCTAGAAAATATACCTGGTGGAAAAAATACCCAAGACAACAAGCCAGACTTGATTTCTTTATTGTATCAGAAGACATTTGCGATATTACGTTGGATTCAGATATTCTGCCAGGCTATAAAAGTGATCACTCAACAATAACATTAACCTTTTCGAACATTTTAAACAGGAAAGAGGAAGGGGCTATTGGAAGTTTAATAGTTCCTTACTGTTAAACCCTGAATATGGTAATTTAGTCAGAACTGTCCTAAATGATACTATTCAAGAATATTCAACAGAAAAAAACATATGATTTTAAAAACATTAAACATATTAATCTTACAATTTCTGATTCCTTATTTCTAGAAACTTTATTAATGAAAATTCGAGGAAAGACTATATCTTTCTCATTCTACATAAAAAAAAAAGTTAAATATACAGAAGAACTGGAACTAAAAATAAAACAGGTTGAGGACAATATTCGAAAAAACTTTCAAAAGATAGATTGAGAACTTCTTAGTGAATTATCAAAGTATAAGAAAGAAATGGAAGAAATCAAAAATGAGGAAATGAAAGGAATACAAATCCGAAACAGAATTCTTTGGTACGAAGAAGGAGAAAAACCTTCAAAATATTTCTGCCATCTGGAAAATAGATTTTTCTAAAAAAATCAATCAATAAATTGATAACTAATGATTACAAAGAAATTACAGACAGTAAATCAATACTTAATGAAGTAAAGGAACAGAATAAGGAGGAAGACTTCTTGAATCACGCGTTGATACAAAAACTCCAACTCTTAGCAAAACACTAAGAGACAATCTTGAAAAAGAAACCAGTATGGAGAAAATTAGCAATGCTGATTATAAGATGAAGAATAATAAAAGCCCAGGGATTGATGGAATTCCTATGGATTTCTTTAAAAAAATAGGAAAAAATAAAAGTATGGATTTATAGATTTGTTAAAAAGGTATCAACTAAGAATGAAATGTTTTCAAATGTGAAAAGGGGTGTCCTCACCTGTATTCCAAAATCCAATACAGACAGAACACTACTTAAAAACTGGAGGCCTATCACTTTACTCAATGTCATTTATAAAGTTATCAGCTCCTGTATTGCACATAGATTAAAAGCTACTTTAGATAATCTTATTCATTGTAATCAAACTGGTTTTATACCAGGTAGGACTATTAGCGAAAATACAAGACTGCTATATGACATAATGTTCGAAACAAAGAAACAAAACATTCTTGGCTTGCTAATTCTGATTGATTTTGAAAAAGCATTTGACACCGTTTCTAAAGATTTTATCAACCTAGTTTTACATAAATTTGAATTTTGCCCTGAAATGATAAAATGGATATATATTGACTTTTGAACCAACATCTTGTGTCATCTAACATGGTAATCTCTCTGAATATTTTGCTAATGGAAGAGGATGTAAACAGGGAGACCCACTTTCCCCTTACATTTTTCTTTTTGTAGCTGAGATTCTTGGTTGTATGATAAGAAACAATGAAAACATTAAAGATATTGTCATCAATGATAAGGAATATAAACTGGATCAATACGCTGATGATACCGAACTATTTCTTGATGCAACTGAGGAGAGTTTATATCTTGCTATCGACACAATTAATGCATTTTATATAAAGTCAGGTTTGAAAATATATTTTAAAAAATCAAAAGCAATCTGGATTGGATCAAAAGCTAAAACTTCTGATAAAATATGTAATGACCTGAAAATTGAATGTGCAACGGGTGAATTTGATGTACTAGGTATTAAATTTACACCAGATCTTGAAAACCTATGGGTTATCAACACCAGAAAGAGACTGGAAGAAATTAATAGACTATCAGCATCTTGGAGAAAATTGGTAAAATAACAGTAATAAAAACCCTATCAATCTCCAAACTAGTTCATATTTTCAATTCTTTGCCCAACCTACCAGCAGAATTTATTACTTAACTTGAAAAACTATTTTTTAAATTCATTTGAAATGATAAAAATGATAAAATAAAGAGGAGCGTAATAAAAGATAAATATGAAGAAGGAGGATTGAGAATGATTGATACAAGTAGATTTGTTGATGCTTTGAAATTATCCACCTTAAGATTTTATTTTAAAAATGTGAAAATAAAAATCCATGCAATATACCTTTCAAAGATATATTTAACTTTGGTGCAAATTCTGAAACTTTTATTGAGATTGAAAAACCTTTTTGGCATGATGTGCTGAAAGCATGGAAACTATTTCACAAACAACATTATGTTGACCCAAATAACATTAATGAAATTCTATCCCAACCTCTATGGTTCAATCACAACTTCAAAAACTCTACATATTTCTTAAAGAATTGGGCAGAGAAAGGGATTATGAATATTAGGGATATATGTGATGAGAATGGATTGCTATCAATAGAATCTTTAAAAGAAAAATTATCATATCAAAGGTACTTTCTTAGATTTCAGATATTTAGTGAACATATTACCTGAATCTTGGAAACATACTTAAAAGCACTGTCTCTCTATTCCAGTCAGTAATTTGAATGTTAGTATAAATTTAGTAAAAGCATCAAAAGGCTGCAGATCTGTTAATGATATACTTGTTTGTAATGATAAATATCTATACATTTGTAATAAATGGCAGCTTTTATTTCCTGAAACTGATTTGGATTGGAAAAATATATTTACAGTATATAGAAAGGGATTTAAGATCCAAATCTTATAGACTTTCAATATAGATTTCTACAATCTATTATTTACATAAAAAAGGAATTGGTCAAAATGAAAAAAGTTGACAATAGTTTGTGTTGTTTTTGCAAAGCTGTAAATGAGAGTGTGTGTCATGTGTACTAGGAATGTCAGGAGAGTCAAACCTTTTGGATAAACCTACAAATTTGGCTTAACAATTGTTATCCACATCCATTGAAATTATCAAAAAATATGATTTGGTTTGGTACTCAACGTGAAAATAGACTACTAAATCACATCATCATTGCTGCGAAGTGACATATTCACTTATGCAGTATTAAAATATACTTTCAAATCTAACTTTATATATAAAAACTCTAAAAGAAATATTCTCTGTGGAAAATCATATAGCAACAAAAAATAATAAAATAAATAATTTCCATCATAAATGGAGCCTTCTCTCCCCTGTACTTAGATGACTCAAACTTATTGATTTGTACCTGACATTATTTATACATTATCTAGTTAATGAATTATGCATGTTTATAAAAATATTAATACAGTAATATCTCACCTCTACGTCATGTAGCCATATTACTTTAAGCCGTATGTATCACGGCTTTGTATATATGTAATAGTTTAATTTTGGGAACCAATAAAAAACAAACAAAAAATAAAACTACACAACTGCTCACAGCTGCTCATCTCTTTGCTTTCGAAAAATGGGGCGGTGGGGTAGACTAGTGGTTAAAACGTTCGCTCGTCACGCCGAAGACACGGGTTCGATTTCCCACATAGGTACAATGTGTGAAGGCAATTTCCGGCACCTCCCCCGTGATATTGCTGGGATATTGCTGAAAGCGGCGTAAAACCATACTCACTCACTCACTAATACAGGTATCATAATAACATTGTATTTGTTTAGGTTTCGCGACTGTTTTCTGCTTAGTAGCATTTAAATAAGATTTGTAATATTTGGTTTAATTTTATTCTGTTGTTGTATACTTTCTTTTGTCCGGTAGTGTACATCATGGCTTGTATACCCACATTTCTCATCACTGGACAATACGTGCGATCGTTATGCTGTTTAGTGGTTAAACGTGTTTCACTCATTCACATCACGTGAACCTAACTGATAGTTTTTGCGAACCCCCTTGATATTGTTCAAAGCACTGTGTGGAGGAGATAACTCCGACAGCCAAATATAACCACTTTGGTTACATAAATGTATTATGTTAAATCCAAATTTCCAAGTTATTGAAATTATTTGTAAATAATTTATGTTGCTAACTTTACTCATTTTAAAAGTACGTCTCGAGTAACTTTCTCTTTAGTTCCATCATATCTTCGTCATTCAAATATTTTCTCGGGTTTTTTTCTAAAAAGAATCGAATGTTTTATTCTTTAGTCTTTGCTTCGTTAATTTTCTCGTTATTTCTCGTTAGTTCAGGTTCATTGTAATAACTCGAAATATAAAAATATAAATAATAAAAAATATAAAATTCAAAAAATTTAAACAAAAAATTGAAATTGATTGTTTTACTGTCTTCAAAGAATGACTGATCAGAGAATGACATTCTGAATGTCATGGTGATCACAAGCATGGCGATTGCAATCAGCCGACATCAGGTGGGAGCGCGAGTGACCTGGGCTGTTAACAAGCCATCTTCTCAAGTACATACATTATGTTCAGATTGTTCTCACCCATTTAAACCCTGACCATTATTCGGAGAGCGTTTAGCCTACATGCTCCTAAAACCCAGAAGCAATGTAATTTTTAAGGCACTTTTGAATTAGTTTCTTCCCCTTACAAATTAAGAGGTGTGTCAAAATTTAAAATTAATGTAAATCATTATGACAGGCTTCAAATATCACATATCAGCTGCCTCACATTTTCCATCCGCCTAAGTCTTACTGTAACTCTCAAAAGATTGCCCACACGTCCATGTTCTGGAACTGCCATAAATCTTGAAAAAGAAACGATTAAAACTGAAATTATAAAGTTATAAGTAAGCGTTACTCAAAACGTGAAACTATACCTCTGACTGTACTGTAGTTGTTGTGCCATTAATGTTGTTGATGTCGGTGTCGTTGACCATGCAGACGATGCCCACGCTGAGGTTGGACCTATTGGACTCAACCATGACTGACCCGAGAAATACCATGAACACCACAATTAATCTCTGGGAACAACAGATGGAATCTGAAAATTGAGACGTTTTACGCCACATATTTAGAGATAAATTTGTATATAAATTATACACATGGGGAAGCAAGCAAGATCTTAGCTACATTAAGCCATCTACATCTCTACATCAGCAGCCCAAGGCACATAAAAATCAGGCTTCTTTATTTGCTGTCCCAGGCACATCACACCTACATACTAGTAAATGAAACAAGCATAGCTCTAGAGGTGATATTAACTGATTACATACCAAAGCTCGGCTTTTTCGGTTAAAAAGCTTAGCAGTTTGCTTAGTTGGCTAAGGATTTCTACTGCACATTCCAATATCCAGTTTGTTCTTGGTTGGATGTTGGGAAACGTGTAAACCAACAGTTCGTCTCAAAATAATAAGCAAGCAAGCAATTTGCAACCAACTACCCTTCTAAACAAGCAAGCAACTTCAGTAAGCCAGCACGCATGCAACATTCAAACGGAACAAATGTTTGGTGAAATTAACAACTCGAAAAGTTCTGTCCTAGCTCTTCAAAGAATAAACTCATCGCTTATATAATTAGTTTTATAATATGGGGGATAAATCAAACGTGATCATCGTGTCGTAAGACATGAACCATTTTCTAGAACAATGTATTATTGGAGACTCTTGCCCCAAGGAACATCGAACGACTAATCCCTTATTAATCGTACTTACGGTTAGAGGATTCTGCATCATCGGACAATGGATGATTGTTCTGAGATACAGTGGATAACGTGTTTTTTCCCTCCATGGTGTCTGCTTCTATGAAGTTAACATCAAATTGTTTATTAATACGGCATGTATATGATATATTTTTCACATGTACTGTCCCCGTGGTGCATATATACTAGCCACATAAAGAAACTGTGCATTGTCAAAATATTATCCCAGTTGATAAGTACGATAACAATGTCAAAGGTACATATAAACTTTAATGGAGGGATCATGAGACCATAACAAATCGGGAGAATTTCAATTGAAATGTCAATCACAATGACGTCACGAGTCCACAAGCGGGACATGGGTCAAACGACCATGTCACAAGCTCAATAACGGGTTTGTCCACCATCGGCATTGAGAACAGCAGTGCATCGACGACGCATAGAGCCTATCAAACGTGCAAGGAAGGCCTGTGGGATGTCACACCAGATTCTCTCAAGTTCTGTTGTAAGGTCAAGGATGTTATCTAGTGGATGAGGAAGACGCCGTAGACGTCGATCCATCTCGTCCCAAACATGCTCTATTGGGGAGAGATCCGGTGAATTTGCAGGCCAAGGCAGTAAGTCAACGTTGTGGTGTTGCAAGAAATCCATAGCAACCCTTGCCGTATTGGGGCGGGCATTGTCCTGTTGGAATGTTAACCCAGGGCCATGACGTTGCAGAAAAGGAATTGCCTCAGGTCGAAGAATATGATCCCTGTAGCCCAGGACTGTGCATAACGTTCTCCCACGCGTCTATAGGCACGTTGACGTCCATCTCTATAGGAAATGTTAAACCTGGACGCATCTGTAAAAACAACATTTCTCCACCAAAACAAGGGTCTGCGGACATGATTTCGGCACCACATTCGTCGAGCTTGTCGATGACGTTGTGTCAGGATAGGCCGTATGGCGGGACGTCGTGGTTTGATCCCGTGATGACGTACACGTTGTCGAACTGTGTTGGGATGGTTCGGGCAGTCATCACTGCAGTCTGAAACCTGTGGCGCAGATGGGTCACCCTTATCCATCTGTCCTGTCTTGGCGTTGTTACACGTGGACGTCCATAACGTGGCCGACCGATGACGTCATTTGTGTTCTGGTAGCGTCTCACCAGTTCAGAAATGGTGTTCCGGTGGCAGTGGAAATGTGCAGCCACTTGTTGAGACATTCCCCCCACGGACCATCCCTCATGACGTTGTGCAGACGTGAGCCTTGGCATGCTATGCGTTTCAATAGCCGTTTAATTTTTTGAACGATCGCAAGGGCAAGGGTTGAGCTTTCCAAAGTATTGTGTGGCATTCATTTGCTCTGTTTCTCTTTCCCGGAATATACACATGCAACAACGTATTGCACGTCTCAAGGACGAACCCACTGACGTCACGGAACGTGGTACGTGCATGCATGTTGGATACATGTCACTAATCTCTAAGTTTAAATCCGTATGTGTCTACACAGGTTTGATAAATTTAGATTATAAATTTTTGTATGCACAGTTTCTGTATGTGCCTAGTATACTATCCTGCACACCCGTACCCACCTGAGCTCTTTTGTAAATTTTCTCAACGATACCAAAGGGGAGTCCCGAGGTACGTCGCTAATTATGCAAAAAGATATTCCGGTTATCCTGCAACCATTTTCGCAGCAAATACCTGCTGATGCAGCATTAAGCAATGTTTGCTCACTCATTGCAACCACGTTGCGGAAATTCCGCTAAAGCTTTTCGAAAGTAAAGCAATAAAGAGATAAGCAACATTGTGTGTGATATTATTAAAACCACGCGTACGCCTTATTTAAATTGTAACAATAAGCTAAACTTTTTATATGAAACAGTACAGTATCATGTGCAGGTAAATTGATATTTTTATTAATGTTTATGTTGAGTGTTTCATACAATCTATTACCGTGTGAACAATGCCTGAATGTAATGACACCCTTTTGATATACCACCCGTGAAGATCCGGGTTAGAATTGATCTTCAGTAACCCATGCTTGTCTTAAGAGGCGACTAACGGGATCGGGTGGTCAGGCTCGCAAGACGATTGACACACGTCATCGCATCCCAACTGCGCAGATTGATGCTCATGCTGTTTGTCACTGGGTTGTCTGGTCCAGACTCAGTTATTTACAGACCCCCGCCACATAGCTGGAATATTTCTGAGTGCGGCGTAAAACTAAACTCAAGCACTCACTCACACTTTTGATATAAACTTACTGAATCGATGACATCAAATATGACAGTTTAGTTTCAAACCATGTTTTCTCATGTATTTCGTGAGCAAGTAACAATCGTGTCATCTCAAGATCGCTTGACATCACACAATCAAATGAATGCTAGACCCTTGTGGCGTTGACCAACGAAACAAAAAACCCAGACCAGCAATGGTTGGTTCAGTTAACATGTCTAAAACTTCGTTCATTTCAGAATAAAATGAATTCATTTCTTTTACTTGTGCTGTGGGTTTTGAGTATAGATATATTTTTCAATCTTAAATGCCCCAAAGTCCACATGTAACATCATTGTCTGGGACAATCCCCTATCTTAAAGTCGAATATCAAATATCCAATCCCTTGTTAGGTTTACATGTACTCACGGTGAAAGTGTTCTGTGCCGTTGCGAAATAGATGATTATTCTGAGATGTGCTTGGTAAGGTGACTTTTCCGTCCATGGCGTCCCTGTTTGAAGGTCATTTCATATTTATGTATGGTATATTAGTATTAATTTTTCAATAATTCATTACGTGATAACGGCATCGTAATGGAATTAAATTCGTGTAGATGAATATCTTATATAATAAAACTTTTAATAAACACAAAATATACCACGAAAAATGTATTCCCCAGTCAATCCATATTTGGGTAATTTGAAAACAGTTCAATTTATCCTTAGTGTCACATCTAAAATGGAGGATAAGAATTTTAAACAAATGTACCTTAAAGTTCTTGGTGTTCCGAGTCTGTAAAGCCTTACATCAACACTATTCTGAATGATCTTGGAATGACCTTTATCATCCATGATTGCGTGATGTATATCCGTAATGGTTTCTCTGACGACGCATTCCGAAAGCAAGTGGTCCGTTTACAAGTTGGAACATCGTTTTAATGAGGACGAGTTTAGTCCTGCCATCTGTCAATGTTCGTCACTCAGTGAAGACATTATGCCAGAGCATGCTCTGCGCGAGTCCATATGGCCTTGGAATATCTATTCACAGGCATATTATTCCTGCTGCAGCCAAATCATGTCAGTAAGTTTTTTCTAAATTTGTCATGCAAGCCTGGGCCAAGATTTTCGAGGTTCTCTTGAAGTCGTAAGTTAATGTTAATTACGGCGCTTACGACAATCTTATCACAAGGAGAGCTTCGACAATTTAGGTCCTGGATTATGCAGAAAATATGGCTTAGGTGCTATCAATCAATTGCGGGCCGGTTGGGTAGCCTTAGTGGTTAAAGCATTCGCTCGTCACGCCGAAGACCAGGGTTGCTTGTCATGAAGCTTAACCCTCTTGGAGCCACGGGACCATAAAAAGGGCCTTCGCAGTTCAAACCTGTTAGTGTCACCGGAAGATATATGCTCCTGTAACGACATTCTCTTTCCTCAACGTTGAAAAAAGATGTCAAAATGTCAGTGTCAAAAGTATAAACATTATCTCCCATCTCAGCCTTAACATTGTATTGCTCATAGTTCATCTACAGTGCGCGCGGTGTGCGTGGTAGCCTAGTTCGCTCGTCACGCTGAAGACCCAGGTTCGGTTCCCCACATGGGTACAATGTGTGAAGCCCATTTCTGGTGTCCCCCGTCGTGATATTACTGGAATATTGCTGAAAGCGGCGTAACGCCGTTCTCACTCACTCACTCACTCATCAACAGTGCTACATATTCCAAAGTATGGTGAGACGGGTAAAGCGGTTTCCGTGCTTCTGGAGCTTCTGGCATGTTTGAATAATTCAAAGGAATGACGTCGTACGGTGATTGTACCAATGTCACATACAAACAATTGTCTTGTTCGGTCAGGTTATTATAAGTACCTGTGTGAACTTCATCGTATATAGGGTATGTGGTTTGCTTTGTAACCACAGTGCCCAGGGGATTTTGAAGGTTGTTGGATTGTTTGTTTGTGAGCGTGTTTGTTTATTGAAAGTCCAGTTCAGCATTCCAGCTATACTGTAATGTATGTAAATAAGCGAGCAAGAGTGCCTATTTGACTATTTTATTACTCAAAAAACCACCTTCGGTGGTACAAGAGCATATACTAATAACAATTCATGTACAATTCATATGCATGAATACAATATATAATTCCTTATACATATGTACACTTCCCTATACATAAATAAGTGCATATATTAACAGGTAGATACATACAAACGCTTATTAAAGATTGACTAGCATTTTTTGCAACTGTATGATAAAATTTGACAAAAAATTATTATATCTAGTAGAAGTCGGCGAAAGAACAAAGACTTATTTTGATATGTTGTTAAGACATTTTGTGGTGGGTATATATTGTTCACGATATGAATCACCGATTACATTTAAGTTACAAAGTGTACAATATCTTACATCCCTCGGTATGCTTTGCCATCTTCCAGTTTCAATTGGCAGGTTTACATTTAAGGTTCTAAATTTTAAAATAGGAACAGAAACATATTTCGGTAAAAGTAGGTAGTTTTCAAAAGCAAGTAATTGATTGTAATGTTGATAATACATTCCTTTCGGGCTAGATTTGATACTTTCCCTCTAGTGTTGAATAAACTGTCTGTTAAAACTTGTCCAGCTTTCAAAACTAGAAAAGACGTGGTATATACCGAGGGATTTACAAATATACTGACGTTCATAAGAAAGAACACACCTGGTGTTTTGGGACTATTTCCATTAAGACCATAAATATTTCGCTAGCAATGTTGTAATTGGGTACAATATCTGGTGTTTTGGAAACACTTGCACAATGTTTGTGACAAGGCAGAATCAAAACACTTTTTAAAATATTAATGCTGTTTTAAAGAAAACATTTAACCCAAGAATCAGGTGACTGTGTACTTTCTTCTGAACGTCAGTTTACATATGATAATCCAATTCTATCTAATAAACCTTTGATAAAGTGAATCCAAGGATCCGACTTAAAGTTTTTATTGTATTTATTTAAAATGTAATTATATAACACATGGGATAGTTTAAGTGTATCAGTATATGTTAGTTTGTGCCAAAAGGATAACATACGCTGTTATATTTTAATATATTGGAGCTCTGCCAAATTCGCCCTAAACCATGAAATGCGGCGTAGATTTTCTTAGCCCATATGCAAGTTTCAGAAATTTTAGATGTAAATCCTCTAATAGGTCATACACCAATCAGCGCAACTGGGCATGATGACATACATGAAACAAGTAATTGAGCCTGTCCATCGGATACCATTAGGAGGACGGGTTGCTGTTTGTAATTTGGATCTTAACGAGATGGCATGTTTGTCGTAACATTCGTGACCCACTCGTGTTATTCCGTGACAAGCCGAATGGAGAGTTGACGGAAAGGACGAGTGGTGACGAAAGGCTAAGCTGGTCAGTTAAGTTCATTGCAGCTGTTCACTGTCCTTTAGGTATTATGCATACTCGGATCGCATGATCATAGGTTCGAATCCCTGTTGACTTTGATTACGTTTATTGGTTAGTAAACACCATACTCATCCTCGGGTCACTTCTTCAAAGCGGTAAATGTCTAGGACCCGCACGCCCGCACGCACGCACGCACGCACGCATGCACACACTCAATCACTAAGTCTTACTGACGACCGATGGGATATCTGTTTCAGGGAGAGTTTGTAATCTGCCCGTCACGTTGCTTAGGTACGTTCGAGTGCCTCTTAGTACATGTAGGTGAGTAAGAATTTGACGCAGCGGAGGAAACCAGAAATGATCTGACACAAATATATTTATGCGGGAATCGAACCCAGATCCTCGGGTTGACGTTGTTATCCGTCTGAAGATGGGAGACATCAACAATAGACCGATGTGCATTGTGTACAAAGCTGTACCAGGCCTGATTACACTAAACGCCAAAAGAAACGTTACCCTTCTTCCTTAATGACGGAGGTACCTATCTACAGCTAGCGTTGTGATGCGTGGACGTCCGTTTCGTGGTCTGGCTACGGTGACCCCAATCTGTCTGAAGCCCTGATATAAGTCTTATTACCGCGATGGTGGCATCCGAAGGCGTTGGCAACAGCAATGTATGTCGACCCCATCTGCACCACCGCAGTGGCTCTTTCTCTCTCTTCAGCTGTTAATCGTGGCATATTTCTCGTACTTGTGAATCATATTATGCATTCTAGTCTCTCTTTATACCCTATAGAATCATTCTACATGTGAAATGGATGCAAATACTGCTGAATATTGCTGCGTTTTGGCGATTGATATTGCTATGTGTAAACAGAAAATGGAAAAATGTTACTTTGCAAACAAACATTTTAACAAAGATAATATTAGATGTTCCTAAACATTTTTTTCACAATATCAAGGACACGTTTTTACTTGTTTTCACTAATGCAAATTCGCAGAAAATATTTGTTTCAACAGTTGTTTCTTGTTTTAATAGTTGAAAAATTGTGACTTTAAATGGTTTGTCTTTGTCTCAAAGCAGAATTGTATTTCAACCTTTCTTTTGGACATCTAAATCACAAGTATTGGTTTATTTCGGCCTTATCTCTTTCAAACTTCTTTATCATGCTACCAGTGTGCTGATTCAGGGGGAAAGGACGCTGACTGTAGGAATGCCTCTGCCCTTCTGAACTTCCCAGATTCAGAGAAAGAAGGGGACGATGAAGACGAAACTGGGGAGGATGTGCGGAAAAACAAATACCACAAGGACTGTGCTGCTGTCCAGCAACACATGTGCATGATTGAAACACACGTGTCACAGGGTAAAACCTAAAGGCTTCTCAATCAAATATGAAAACGGAATTGCATTTAGATCGTATGCTAAAGTAGTACGCGAACGGAATGATAATGATATATTAAATGATAGTGGTTTTAAGACTCTTTTCGCAATATTACAGCAAACTCCAGCGGGGGGCGCGGGACAGGCTCGCTGACTTGGTTGACACATGTCATCGGTTCCCAGTTGCGCAGATCGATGATCATGCTGTTTATCACTGGATTGTCTTCCAGACTCGAATATTTACAGAAAGACCTTCACCTTGGTGTACCGCTAAGTATTTTTGACGCGAATGCTCGATTCTCTACACATAAATTCACGTACGATTTGCTTCTTTTTTTTAAGAGTAATTATAAGGCTCACATAATACAATTTGTATTCGTAATGTGTGATATTAATTGATATGGAATCACTCTCGGTTGATAATCACTATTTTCGCGACAAACCCCTTTCCACGTTCATAAGAAATCTCTGCCAAAAGCAGAGTCGATTGTACAATTTTGACTATATCATGAGAAGTTGACTATATCATGTTTCAGAGGTATTACAGCTCTGATTTTGTTTGTAAACAGATCGGGTCTGAACCAGGCAATCCAGTGATTGTAACAATTCGATACGATGGCAGTGTTTATGAATCACAATGAAATATAACTGGAGCTATTTCTTTGCTGTTTGTTGGTTCTTTTACGGACTAATTCGGAGATAACCTTTTAGTTTCAACATAGGGATCAACACATAAGATATTTCTTTTTCAATTTCAAAATACAATTGCATTTATTTTCATTTCCTCATTATTTGTTGGTTTCTTTGTGTTACCTATTTGTTTCTATTTGGGAATAGACAGGAGGAAACACTTTGTGGATATTCTGTGTTTAAGTCAACCTGACATGCATTAAGTTCAAATACCTTTTGAATTTATTTGGATATTCCAAGAAGAAGAAATGGTCGAGCTGTGGACGAAGAATGTCCTGGAATATCCTAGAATGTCTTGAACAGAACCACCATTTATAGATGGGTTGAGCAGTATGTCGTGTCCTGTTCAAGCTTGGCATTTTGGACATCTTTGTTCGACCCCACATTAACACCCTGCCCTTCCTCCACCACCACCTCCATCTTCTCTGCGGCCCAAGGCTGCAGCTCCCCTTGGGCCATTGTTCCGAACACCACAGTTCCCAGGACACAGACTCCAGCACACACGTAGAAGACATTCCGCCATTCTTCCTGGGTTTTCTGTAAACATACATATTACATTAACATCATGGGGGCGCGGATCAGTGTTGTCACAACCCTTAGTGTACAGTACACAACCCTGTGCACTTAAAAGAACCCACGAATCCGTTGGTATATGAACCGATGGTGGCCACATGAAAACTTGCAAACATCTAGTTGCGGGTACAGCAACGTGCCGTACACTATGACAAATCACTGTGACTATGTGTCCCAGTCCACCCAGCTGTTAATGGGCACCTTGTAAGGATGGGAAAGCTGAAATAACCGGTGCGCCTTGTGGCTGAAGAGTTGTATGCTCCCCAGGGAGTTGAGATTGATAATAAGATGTGCCATTGAGATTGACATCCAATGATCGAGGGAAAAGATACCAGCGCCTTGAGCATGTACTAGTGCGTATATGCATATCCAATGATGATAATAATAAATGAAAAATCATACCCGTGTTGGTAGTTTAACAAAGTGGTAAACGTTTTAAAGATGTACATTTCTTGCGATGTCTAATATAACTGACATACTGTTTGAAAACGGGTTGGAGGGGTGCTGAAGGACGATGAATTCGTAACGCTCTACGTATCCGACTACTGGGTTCTTAACCTACAAAGATTGTATCCAGGTGAAACAGTTGCGTGACAATTTGACAATTGAGCCATCTAGTGGTCGCCATGGAACTAGAAGTACGGTGTCTCGAGTTGAGAACGTTACCATATGTGATATGATATGTTGGTGACGTTACGTTAAACAATATCCGTACTATTCGACCATCATGAAACAATTTGTATACTAATTAAAATACGGCCATGGCCAAGTAGATGGAGAAATTCTTTAACGAGAAAGAAATACTATGAAAATGGTCTAAATTGGGTCTACATTAGGTGTTAGGGCGCCGGCAAGGAGAGGTGCTAACATCCCCGGACACTTACATTGGGTGTTAGGGCGCCGGCAAGGAGAGGTGCTAACATCCCCGGACACTTACATTGGGTGTTAGGGCGCCGGCAAGGAGAGGTGCTAACATCCCCGGCGTTGTTGCAATGGTGTTAGAAAAGCCAAACAATATCCCAGCGTATCTGTAACAGAAATTCGATGTTGTTTTAGTTCGCATCCATTTGTTTTACAAATAATACGCATGCTCAGTTATGACGTTCTTGAGTGTAGGTATACAGTTAGACTGTTCGTCATGTTTTGTTCTGTGTTTCCAGTCTCCCTTCCCGAATGTTCGTTTCGACGTGGAAAAAGCCCGGAAAGATAACCTATATTTATCTGCTCATAAGAAAACCAAGGTTAGCTTGATCTTTTCCAGCTATATGTAGTAAAATCAGTTTCTGAATTCAAGCAACCGGGTACCTATGGAAATCCGGCTAAGCTCTTCTTTCAATATTTAACCTATTTTGAGTTCCTAAAGTCGCTTCAGCATCATTTGTATTCAGATAACAGGCGTGATACAGGCATAAAAGATCTGGGTCCCGACCCACTAAGCGATCGTAACGTTATGACCTGTCTCTATAGTTTACTGTAAGCTTACGAATGCCATAGAACTATGAATGCTTTGTGGATCGGGACCCCGGTTCCTAAAATGTATACCTACCTTGAAGCAAAGTCGGTAGTGTTGACGAGGACCCCTGACGACCCCAAACCCAAAAATGACATCGCGGCCGATAGCAGAAATACTGCGTAATAACGTCTCTCCGCGTCCATAAAGCCTGTGCCTATCAGGCAGCTACCTGCCCCGAGGAATGCTGCAAACATTCAAACAAGATGTTCTGATTGAACAGGGCTCTGTCGCAAGCGGGATGAACGGGATTTTAACAGCAAATAGTGCTGGTGATTTTGTTTGTTCAACTCCCTAGGGACATACATCCATGCTGCCTGTTAGGCGCAATGAACTAAACTCACATTGCCAGCACATCCTCACAGGTACCCATTTTACAGCTGGATGAACTGAGACAATGTGGATCTGAGTATCTTGTCCAAGGATACTACGCAAATGTGCCCATCTCGGGACCCGAACCTAGGTGCCTCCACCGGGGATCGAACTCGGGCCTTCAGCGTGACAGGCAGACGCCTTATCACTGCACTATTGCCCTCCGGTTTTTGTTTTTTTGGAAGAGACCAAAAACTAGCCTCAATCCATTTTCATTTATGGATGACTCCCTGACATACTTACCGCCTGTCTGAAATATCCGCCGAGCGGCTGTAGTGCTGAGGTATTTCCTTGACCGGAGGAAGTCGGAGAGCTGACCACCCAGCAACCCAAACACGAATTGACAGAGCGAGGGGACCGAAGACAACAAGCCGTTCTAGATGACAAGAATGGTATTTTCATCTCTTTCGCCCTAACAAATCAACATGTTTAAGCCAGAATGGCAAAATTTAGTGAAACACAATCATATACAGACCGCCGTCATTCCGCTGGCACATTACTGAGTGCTGCGTTAAAATCCTAGACTTGCACAAGTCTCAAAGGTAGAAAGTAATGGTTTAAAAATGAATAAAAGACTGTGTGAACTGTCCTCTTACCTAAACTTGCCTCTTCGAAGGATAGAATTTCTATACATCCATGGGCTCAGCATTCAGTACAGCCTTGGAGCAAGGTTTTAATACCCAAACAACCTCATTTACTTACAACTACCCGATACATGTAGAGTATTAAGTGCATTATACTGATAGAAGGAAATGTACATACCTCTGCTATATTGAAGTGCAGGACCTCTTTAAGAAACGTAGGTGTGTTGGTGGTCAGAGTGTAAATTAGCCACGAAAAACAGGTATGTCCCGTTACAAACGCCCACATTGCCCTTGACCGTAAGATGTCCGACCATGGCGTTTTGTAATTCCGCTAATAATTAAATAAATTTTTGCAAGTTAATGCTGAAAAGAAGGATGCTCCTCATTATGGTAAACTGTAATACATACTTGTGTTTTCGTAATACTATTTGTCTTGTTTCAAAAAGTTAGAATTGGTCTTCAGTAACCCATGCTTGTTGTAAGAGGCGACTAACGGGATCGGGTGCTCTGGCACGCTGACTTGGTTGAGTCATGTCATCGCATCCCAATTGCGTAGATCGATGCTCATGCTGTTGATTGTCTGGGCGGTTATTTACAGACCGCAGCCATATAGTTAGAATGTTGCTGAGTGGAGCGTAAAACTAAACTCACTTACTCACTCACTCACTCGAGACCGCTAATACAGTCAAATACAGGTTGAGTCGAACATACTATTGTCTCGAAGTACATGCTTATGCCCTTCGTATGCTTTCATCATGTTTCGGTGGTATTGAATCTTGGATAGCTCTGAGAATTTACTTCAACTTCAACACCGGTTACTGTGTCCCTAACAGGATTCCATACTTCATAGAACTTACGTCACAAGTCACTGGCCATTTATGTTCAGGTGTCTCAATGAGTGATACAGGTTACAGTTTGATTTTACGTTGCATCGAACAGTATCTCAGTTACAGCAGGGGCTGAGTGTGTGAGTACGGTTTTACGCCTATTTAAGCAATATTCAAGCAATATCACGACGGGGGACGCCAAAACAGGGGTTTTCACATTGTATCCTTGTGGGGAATTAAAACCGGGTCGCTTGGACGCTTTAACCACTAGGCTACCCAACCGCCCCTTCAGTTACAGCAAGGTGTGTGAAATGTCGTTGGAAACGTGATGCAGGTCTTCAGCGATTGCCTCCACACTCAGCAATATCCCGTTCTGTAGATCCAGAGATGACCCGAGCCTGACCACCCGATCCCGTTAGATGCCTCTTACGACAAGCACAGTTTGATGAAGACACATTTTAACACGGATTTTCACGGATAGGTTCATAGATTGAATATGGTTGGTTGGTTTGTTGTTTAACGCCGCACTCAGCAATATTCCAGCTATATGGTGGCGGTCAGTAATTAATCGAGCCTGGACCAGAAACCCAGTGATCAACAGCATGAGCATCGATCTACACCATTAGGATACGATGACATGTGTCATCCAAGTCAGCGAGCCTGACCACCCGACCACGATATTGAATATGGCGACAACTATGTGGATAAAATTGTTTAATAAATGAATTTTAATTTTATAGACACAAAAGTATGATGAAGAATGAAAGAAATATATAATGATGAAAATATTTTTCATATGCAATTTGTAATTAGACAAGAGAGTGCCAATTCAGATAATGAAAAAGTGCTTATGGCCTAAAAGGTAAGGACTTTTCATTGATGCATATGTTTTGTGATTTAAACATATTTTATTCACAAATGTGAAAGGGATTGGGGACAAGTTATCCAACTTAAAATACCCGCTCCCTTTGTTTTGTTCAATGAGTTATAAAACAGAATCACCATGACACATCATTAACAAATATTACAAACCTGCGTTTTCTCCCCTAGACTACGTATGATGTAATTCCGCTCTCTCTTGGAGATCCGAGGATGTTGTGCCGGCGTGCTGGCGACCAAGAGCCACCACAGGAAGCACCATAACAGTGATGCAGCTCCTGTGGGCATGGAGGCGTGCTAGTCAGATACATATACATTACCATCCTCGATAATATCCAGTGTATACGTTCTGAAAAATCTCCACGAGTACCCTGGATGCATCTCTTCATTCAATTTCATTATAGAGTTATCACCCTTTCCTTTTATTTACATCAGGTATCGTCTATTTCATTTGTCATCGGGGATCACACTGTTTTCCTGTCCTATGCGTAATAAATAGATCACGAAACTCTTGGATGTTGAAAAGGAAAAAATATTCCAAATCGATATTGATTAAACACTTTGATTTATCACGAGCGAAAGCACCAACTCGTTTTGTAATCTCTCATCCTCGATAATCTCGAGTACCCTGGATGCATCGACGGCTCGGCCCGATAATTGTATTACCTCCCTTCGCTGTCTCCACCTTAGTAGACGATGCCGGATGTAAATAATACGAAAGGGAGATAACTCTGTCACGACTTCTTAATAAATGAAAATAAACAATTAAAAATATTCAATTACAAAACAATACTAATCTCAAGAATTATCCACAAACCTAATGTTTCGTTTGGTTGACACTTTGGGTAAAACAAGCTTGAATGGAGTTAATGTTCATATAAAAATATCGAGGTGGCAACAGAAAGTTCGGAATTATGACGTCGATCACTATCGCTGGATAATCTAGTTTGGTTAGACGACACTCGTTGGATAACTTTCAGCTGGTTAAACAACACCTGTTTCACATTACTAAAATTATCTGATAAAGATATTCAGAGCAATATCAGAACATGTGTAATAAAATATGCCCTTTCCACATGGCATTATGAAATTACCTCGCAACACACACGTGAACTTGTAGTGTCTCTCTACAAAGTGAACCCATTTAAGTCGGAAAATGTGTTCCCTCTGATGTCGTCCGGATTAACCAGTTTTCGGCTATTTTGCTGAATACGCTTTTAAAGACATTTTTGACGTTCAGATTATCAATGCTGAATGTTAGATTACGATGAAGAGTAGCTAGACTTGTCAGGGTTTCACTATACATGTATAAGACCACATATACATTACGTTTTGAGCGAAACAGTTCACATTTTTGGTTAAAACGGATGAAAGAAGACCGATTTTAAGTTTGAGATAAATTTTGAACGTGAAGTATCATTGATTTGATGCAAAACTCAAGATTCTTTAAGTAGCTCACATTATTGATCAGAAGCAATATAAGGCATACCCTACACAGTGAGTCTGTGAGTGATTTAAACAGTATTTTAGTTATAATACGGTGCGCCAGCTTGACGACAACAAAATACATTCTAAGATTCGTTAAGTAGCCCACGCTATTGATCAGAAGCAATATAAGGCATACCCTACACCGTGGGTATGTGAGTGATTTTGGCGCTTAAACAGTATTTCAGTTATATTACGGTGCGCCAGCTTGACGAGGGGAGGAAGATGGAAGTGATGCAGGTTTTACGTATACCACTAACACCCACGAACACGGGTGTGTTGCTGACAAACACAGATAGAAACATGTTAACCAGGTCGAGTCATGGTTTTGGACACACGATCACAGTTTCCAGGTGTTCCAAAGGGACGCAACTCTGCACAGTGCATATGTGCGTCTCAGACACACAGTAGTGCTTAGTGTCCTGCAAGGTTATGGCTTTTCTCCCTTTTCTTGCCCCTCGCCCTCTTTTAATAGTGTGTATGTCTCACTCATTCTCTCATACTAGGTGTCCAGCAGGGTTATGGCTTTTCTCCCTTTTCTTGCCTCTCACCTTTTTTTAAAATGTATTGTATGTATGTATCGTTCATTGGAAATTACTATGACCATCTGACACTCTCCCGCTGTCCTATATACCTGGGACATAGAAGACGGACCCCCCAGCCGTTATCGAATCCATAGATGCACAGGAATCCTGATATCGTGAAAGAGGCTATGATTCCAAACGGAAAACCTGGGAAGAAAACAATTCATTATGTGCATTTTAATAGGTACTTTTGAATGAAAGCACGAAAAATTGACGAAGAATCCACTGTGGATTGTGGACAATTCCTTACCTTTAGGCTGAATTTTCCATTTTTATTATTTTGTCAAAACAGTTTCCTGTAAATAAATTAAATAATAAAATCATATTCACAAAAGGTGTTTTTCCAGGGCAATTAAAATATAAATATTAACACTTTTCTATTTATAATGATAGACACATGGAAAAATGTGTCGCAACATCCCCCATAAGTGGTTGGCTACACCGTAGGGATGACCTAAGGTCACAATACGACCCACTGTTTTCCTGATCATAAATTCATTATCAAGTTAGCAGTGCTTTGGTTGAATTCATTTCAGCCTGTGTTGAAACTGTGTTGAATATTCAATGCATTTTCCTTGTGGCTTTTGAGATACAGTTGTTTAAACATGTGATGCTCTTTGACCTTTCTCCTCAATGTTTCTAATTTGAATGAGATCTTGAACACAGCACTGACCTGCGTAGCAGATAGATGCAAGTTTAGTCCTCTCCGATGGCGGCGCCCATCGACCAAGCATGGCCTGCGTTGTCGGATTATAGACTCCCTGAGGAGAGTACAACGAGAAAGGACATAGTTCTGAAAATTTCGTTTCGTTAAATGTTTGATCGGCATTCTAGAAGTTGGTGAGTCAATAATAGTCAAGCTAAAAGTGAGTGAATTAGATTAGTGAGTTTAGTTTCTCAGCAATATATCAGCTATATGGCGGCGGTATGTACGTAATGGACCAGACAATCCAGTGATCAATAACATGAGCAGCAATCTAGAAACGGTATAAGAATCAACACCGTACATCATTCAATACTTCATAGAAAGCATTTCCTTTGTTCTATCGAAATGTGTGGTGGCCTGTGCTAATTATATTTTGAGTTCCGATTTTAATGTTCATCAATCCAACTTCAAATTTCATCGTCATAATCATCAAACAGGAGAGGAGGTTTAGCCTTGCGATTAAAGCATTCACGTCTAAGGTTCGGTCTCGATTCCGAACATTGGTTCAACATGTCAAAACTATTTTCACTCAGTCTTCATTAAATGTGTGAGATCTGTTTAAAAGACGTAACTGCTCGATAATGATCCTGTTTACAACTGATCTTCAGGGTGCCAATCCTCGTTCGTAGCTCTACGACATTCTTAAGCCCATGGTAAACTATAGAGTTATAACAGGTCGTAACGTTACGAAGGTTTAGTTGATCGGGTCCCTGCATCCCATCTTTGTCGTGGGGTGGGGTGGGGTGGGGTGTGTTTTTTTTTAGCCTAATGGTTAAAGCGTTGGCTCGTCACGCCGAAGACCCGGGTTCGAATCCCCACATGGGTACAATGTGTGAAGCGTATTTCTGGTGTCCCCCGCCGTGATGTTGCTGGAATATTGCTAAAAGCGGCGTAAAACCAAACTCAGTCAGTCAGTCAGTCAGTCAGTATCTTTGTCGTACTCGAAGGCTTTGGCGATGCATGTCATCGTATCCTTGTTGCGGAGATGCTCGTGAAGTCATGGTTCAGGGGATTGTCCGGTCTAGACCACCACGTTACAGTTGGAACATTGCTGAGTGCGGCGTTAAACAACATGCAAGCAAAACATAAAAATATTAAATTGAGACATACATGCCGGTCATATGTGTTACAATCCAAACTATGTTTTCCCACCTACCATGGCCAATCCCAGTATTACTCGCAGCGCATACACGAGATAAATGGAGGTCCGAGCGCCGATTGGTAGAAGCACTGAGGCGATCGAGCCAATCAGCATCCCAGTGAACATGACGTATTTCCCGCCATATTTCGCGGCCAGCAGTCCCGAGGGGAACTGTGTTACGATGTAACCATAGTAATAGGAGCTGAGAATTCCCGCTTGTTCTGTCTTGGACCAGTAGAACTCCGCATGCTGGAAATACATTTTGTGTCTCTGCATTTGTAGTTGTAGAAATCAACTTTTCATAAACTGTCGCTCAAAAACACTGTTTTCATCCAGTATTGTTTTGTTGCTAAAAATAACAAGAACTGGTTGTTTGAGGCATTCGCCACCACTCGCCCCTTCCGTAACCTCCAAGTAGACCTGTTTTCCTCCCGATGCTTGTTTTGTGTGGACATACGACAAACCAATCAGAACGCGCGTAATGATTGATCTTGAGAACTTAATTCGTTTATGGCAGTATGACATTGTTTATAAAATCACGAAAAATACATATCGTCACATTGAAAGTACAAAGAACGTAGCTATCAGAATTGTACTGCCATGTGAAGTGTTTAATAAGACTAATGCGATTGACGGTCATGGATTGTTTACATAACGGCTCTGGTATAGGGTATAAGGGTATTCTGACAATCTTGGGAGCTTAGTTTGGAGATTGTACGTGCGCTTCATGAAATATAATTATAAATCGCTTCGAGTTTCAAAACAATAATATCATGTTAATATATTACAAATCAAATTTAATCTTTAACACGTGGCTTATATGTCACAGCTCTGGGGATATTTTAGTCTGACTATTGGGGGTTTATTCATATTTTTTTCCAGCGCGTTCATTTCAAAATTCCACAAGTGGTATGACAGCAAGGTCACACGAATGTTCAGTTTGAGAAATGTTTGAAAGTCATTTTTGAGTGTGTTTTAGGATTGAATGTAGCTAATAAAAGATTCTTTTATTTGCAAATTCAATAAAACAAATCTCATTTGTGATTCTTAAACCCTATTTTGGTATACATTTGGAAATATAAGGTGAACAACTGGTAATACTTACGTTAGAATGTGTGTTTTACAAAATTTTACCCCTTCTTTTAGTTGTTGTTGTTTTAGAGGTTTGACTCTTTAAAATAAATAAATAACAAAAACAAAAAAACCCAATACAATATTCGAGTGCTTCGGTGATATCAAGTACCACTGGAATCAAACAGGAGTAGCGTTATCGTTCTTGTTTAAAGTAGTTCTGATGTTCCTACGCCAATATGAAATCCTTCCAGAGGGGCACGTGTCGCAATTCGGCTTGTCCCGGAATAACATCATTCTCCTACCCAGAGTTCCATGGGGCCAGCCAGAATAGTACCTCTTCTACAGGCCAGAAAGATGTGACGATTCGTACATATTTCTTAACTCTTTTATTTTTGAAGTGTCTACACGTCTAATTAAAAATAATTGTGAGAACGATTTAGTTTCTCTGAGAAAATATCCTAAAACGTGTAACACTATTTCCATTTGCGTAGCGATCCTTTGTTTACTTTGGTTATGCGGTTCCACGTGCTGTCATCGAAGCCTTATGGAGAGCAAACGACCCAATAATAGGTTTCACACATTGTACCCATGTGGGGAAGCGAACCCGCGTTCTCGGCGTGACGAGCGAACGCTTTAACCACCAGGCTACCCCACGGCCCCTCACGACAATTAACAACACTACTGCTCTCAGCTGCTCATCACCATATTGCTTTACGGTGGGGCGGTGGGGTAGCCTAGTTGTTAAAACGTTCGCTCGTCAAGCCTGAGACCCGGGTTCGATTTCCAACATAGGTTCAATGCGTGAAGCCCATTTCTGGCGTCCCCGCCGTGACATTGCTGGGATATTGCTAAAACGGCGTAAAACCATACTCACTCACTAATACAGGCATCATAATAGCATTCTATTTGTTTAGGTGTTGCGACTGTTTTCTGCCTAGTAGAATTTAAATAATATACTGAACATCATTGAAAACGCACCATCTGTATTAGTTTGGATTTCCAAGAGCATAAATGAGCAATCGGTGTAAATTTTACACACTTTTGTAGTCCAATGATTAGTAAAGAAAAGAAACAAGAACCAATCCAGCAAAACAATGAAAACAGCAAAACAGCTGACCATGAAAGAAAGATGGAGTGAAATTGGAAAGTCAGTAACGTGTATGACAACCGTTAGCAGCAACACAAGCTGTGCAACGTCTCCTCATTGAACTGATAAGTCTCTGAAGAATTTTTTGAGGCAATGCATTCCACTCTTGTTGCAAGGCATTCTCAAGTTCCCCAAGGTTGTTGATCTGTGGGCGACGTGAGAGGCGTTGGCCGATGTAATCCCACAAGTGTTCAATGGGAGACAAATCTGGTGACAATGCGGGCCATGGAAGTAGAGGAATGTTTTTGTTTGCCAGAAACTGTGTTGCAACACGTGCAGTGTGCGCTCGAGCATTTTCCTGCTGGAATGTGTGCAGATCTTGATGTTGGTTAAAGAAGGGAACGACGTTGTTCTGAAGAATGGTGTCACGGTAGTAAAGGGTATTCACTGCACCACGACAAACTACCAGAGCGGTTTTGTGATGATAACTGATCCACCCCCCTCCCCGCGCCACCATAATGCTGTCTCCACCCCACCGATCTGTTTGCACAACACAGTCCTGATGGTAACGTTCTCCCCGTCGACGCCATACCCGTAGACGCCCGTCAGCATTTCGCAAGTGAAAACGTGACTCGTCGGAGAACACAACACCATGCCAACGTGGTAAGAACCACAAACGATGCTGTTCAGTCCATCGTCGGCGTTCACGGCGATGTCTATCAGTCAGAATGGGTCGAACAAAAATGGCGTCGACCCCGTAATCCTGCCGCACGGAGACGGCGTCGGACGGTGGAAGCACTGATCAAACCACGTCGGCCTTGGACAGCGTTGGCGGTTCTGGCAGCTGGCAACGTACGATCCCGAGTATGGCGCCGAACAATGTCTCGATCTTGGCGAGGGGTGGGTGGTAACACGTGCCTGGCCAGGACGTTGGAGGTCCCTGGTGGTTCCTCTTTGTTGGTACCTGTTGGCAAGTCTTATGATGGTGGAATGATGACAACCAAATCGTCTGGCAATAATCCTGCTTGATGTGCCAACCTGCAACGTCCGTTCTCGTTCCTCTGGTGACAATCTTGGCATTGCAAAATAAGCCGTACTTGCGGAGGTACAGCTGAAATGACAACGGTTTTTTGCCGACGGTTATTTATACCCCTAATCAGCATGATTTACTCATGCAATTTGTGCTTTTCGTGTGTGTTGTGCATGAAGTTTTTTGTCATTTGATGTGTTCCATGATGTGTTCGGACAATCCGTTCTTTACTGTACAGCATTATTTATTATCTTTTGTGTTATGAACAACATTTCCAACGTTCATTTTCACTCTCAAAACAATCCTATTACCATATTTCAAAATTTATAGGTGGTGCGTTTTCAATGATATGCAGTATATTTCAATTTTGTTATATTTTATTTTGTTGTTGTATATTTTCTTTTGTCCGGTAGTGTACTTCATGGCTTGTATATCCCACATTTCTCACGACTGGACAATACGTGTGAGACCGTGGTCCAGGGGTGTAATAGATTCGGGTGTCTGGACGACGCTGTAAGAATAATAGTCAACCACAGCCAACAAGAATAAGTTTTATTGATGATGGTGAAGATGAACGTGTGGCCTGCACATAAAGAAGAATGTCTCTCAGTGAAGATACAGACACACACACTCTCACATTTAACAACATTTGCAAAATAGTACACAGTTTGGCCAACCATAATGTATCTAGTGACATTATATTAATATCACAAGCATTAAATC